TTTTGTCTCCTGGGCTTCGAATTATCCAAGTTTTACTGTAGAATCAATAGAAGGATATCCATTCCCCCCGTAGTTTAAAGCATATAACAAGGCAAGGTGTGATGGATGACTAGTGAATATTCAAATAATAATTATTATAGCAGGGACCTATTATCCATGAGAATATCTATGGTTACATGAAATGACATGTATAAGCGAGCGAGAATCAAAATAAAACAGATTACCACTCACGAGCAAGTTCCGTCATGTGTAAGTTATTTATAAAATATATTTTAATTCATAAAAAATGCGAAATCTTTCTTTAAAGTTTTTCTTATTTTGCCGAACGGGCATTACTGCCCTTCCACAGGAGAAAAATAGAAATGTATAAGAAGATGAATTGTTACAAAGCAATAATGCGCCATCTATTTATAACGAATGAAGACATTAAGACGCGAATGTTTCTTTTCACAAATAAATCAAACTTGTGTTTTGTGTTTTTTTTTTATATATATATGTTATATTAAGATATTTTTTTATTTAAATTATATTTCATAGATTCAAATACTCTGCTAAATCGACCGCCAGAGGTCACGCTTCCCCTTTAAAAATTGTTGTTGTTTCCGATGGCCGGCTAAAACCATATGTAAATATTCTTTTCTTTTTTTTTTTCTTTTACTACCCGCCTTAAAAGTCAAGATATTACTTCATTCTCAATTATGATATCATATTAATTAAAGTAAATTATGATTCAACCTTTATTTAATTAATATTTCTCAATGACTACAAAGCAATATCAAAAATCATCCTCATGTACCCTTCAACAACCTAAGAAAATATTTTTATTTATAATATATACATATCTGCATAAGTATATATGTATATATAAACAATTCATCTTCTTATACGTTTTCTATTTTTCTCCTGTGGAAGGGAAATAATGCTCGAAAGCTCGGCAAAAATAATAAACACTTTGAAAGAAACATTTCGCCTTATGATTTTCGCGCTTTTTATGAATTTACATCAGGTGATTATATAACTCAAGCAATATTTGAATTGTTTGCACATGTAGTAAGAACAAAGAGGAAACAACACTAAAAAGATTTAGAACAGGCCATCTCAAGCCATTGAAGATAGAAAATAAAAATAAAATCTACTCCACTTGCCCAAAATGTAGCTTGGTACCTGCAGCTCCAGAACACATTTTGTCTTGCATTAGATGCACTAAACAGGACCTTTGGGAGAGGCTGCTGCTTATCATAAAACAGCTCGAGGAGCATGAACTCATGGAATTCGTGTAATCTTTACACAAATGGATAAGAAACAACAACAACAAAAAGGAAGCGCTATGTATATCTTTCAATATTTACCATCATCATAATTTTCTCTAATACCATCGGCACATAGTTACCGGTCATGAAAGAATCAGTAGAGTTGGAACTGAGGAAGTAGGCGATGTTGTCCAGATGTTGTGGGGACAGTTCCACCCCGGAGTTACACAGGGACAGGGGCACCAGGGGACTATATGACCCTGGGGCAGCCTTCTCCACCTTCCTCTCCAACAGGGAAACCAGGTCTGTGCCGAAGAAGTTCCTGGGGTTGGAGCACAGGGCCAGCTGGCTGTGAATGTAGAGGGCGAGGTCCGTGGCATCCATCTGTTCGCTCTGGTTCCTGGATATCATAATAAAATATAATAATAAATCAAAGTTTTTTTTACCTTGGAATTATTGTTTAAACCAAATATACACCAAATTGATACCGAGAAATAACCAATTATAAATGTATACCTAATATTCTAAATGTATTTAAACATGCTGTTGCTGTTTATCACCAATGGACAGACAGATCTTCACTAATGCTTTGTTCTGTCTTAAATTAAATCTTGACAAAATCGCTTGATCTGCTTCCTCAGGCTTAGCTCGTCTGGATATACCATTGACCATAGATTACAATCCATTAAAAATTGATTTTACATGTAGAATGATTGAGGATATCAAACTTATTGATATTTACAGCTCTGTTACAAATATTCATCTTTTCAAAGTAATAAAACGTAGTGGTGTTACTTTCTTCAAAGTTGAAAACAAATAACAAAGAAGTCAGTGGACGAATGGTAAAACCCTCGATTCCCGACAGCCATGAATCGGGAACGAATCCCGCATTGTACACCTATTTTCTGTGAAGAACCTGTTTCTCATGTAAATAACATAAGCTAGGTTGCTCTTTTTGAGAAGTACCTAATAAGGTTATTTTATAACAGTTGAAAACAAGACATAGGAAAACAACGTTTGCTTATTCACTTGTTTGTATTCAATCTCTTAATCAGAATTGTGTTAGAGCAATGTATCAGGGAAGCATTTATATGTAAACTTTAGTTTTATGGAACATCAAAAGGATTGAACGAAAAACAAAATCAAAGTTTGATAGCGAGCGTATTTATAGCGGTAAACAAAGCAGACACTATCCCATGATGCTCATTGCGACGGTGGGCAGTCATAGGTCACAGTGGCTATTCAAACATGTATTATACCAGAATGCAATGACGTGTTTCTGACAAAATCTGTAAATTTGTTTTATCATCCTGTTTTTACTAGGTATGAAATCACTGATGAAATTTCGATTGGGTTACTATAATCCATTTGAGATAAGCTCGTGTAATTATTTCCTAAGCCTTGTTTTCAACTGTTCCAAAATAACCTTATTAGGTACCTCTCAAAAAGAGCAACCTAGCTTATGTTATTTATATGGGAAATATAAATAGGTTCTTCACATAAAAAAACGTACAATGCGGGATTCGAACTCGGTTCATGACTGTCGGGAATCGAGGGTTTTACCATTCGTCCACCGACTTTGTTATTTGTTTTCAACTTTGAAGAAAGTAACACCACTACGTTTTATTACTCTGAAAAGATTAATATTATCCATCTGGGATAAGCTCGTGTAATTATATGACTTATAACTTGATACCTTTTAAATGTATTCTTGTCTGAGTGTCATTGGGTCCAATAGAGGCTCTTATCTTGGCATGAGTTGCTCCCTTTATTTTTACTTCAATATTGTAACGAAATATTTATTATTTTATAAACTGATTATCAATTTTAATATTTATAGCTTACTACTAAAAACTGAAAAATACTAAAAAGGTCAGGTGTTGATATTTAAAATAAAAAAGCATATCCTGACCAGGAGCACATGTTCTTTTCAGAAGGCAGAGCGCCATCTGCCTTTTTTATTATTAATATCAACACCTGATCTTTTTATTTTTTTATTTTTTCTATTATTTTTTCACATATATACAAATACTTATGTGAAAAAAAATAATAAACTAATAAAAAAGTCAGGTGTTGGTATTAAAATCAAAAAAGACATCCTGACCACGAGCACACGAGCTCTGACATGTAAAAAGCTCAGGTTCTTGTGGTCAGGATATACCTTTTTTATACAAATACTTATATCGAGCATTTTCATTCTCAAACAATTCGGGAAAAGTCATTTGGCATGAATTAGACACAAGAAATTATAAAGAATTTTTGCAACTTTCTTCAATATCTGTCTATATACAAATTTCGTAATACTTTTTATATACTTACAGATCACTGATATTGTAATTATTTGTTCAAATCTAAAGACAATGCAAGTTGATAAAATATCAGATTTATTTGATGTCGGGGTGGTTAAGAATAAGCTAAATATTTTTTAATCAATATTCTGTGATCAATTTTAATATACTCACAGAGTAAGGCCCTCCATTAATTTTTCCATTGCGGTAAGGACAGTAGAAATTTTTTAATTTTAAAAAGAATCATACGCGTCTATAATAGTTTCGAATTTTGATACTTACAGAGAACACCTTTTTATAATTTAAACTGAGAAGAAAACTAAAAGCTTATGTCCATAGTTCATCTAAAATACCCATTCGAAGAGTCAAGCATCAGTATCACTATAAAAGGAAGTTCCAAAAATGCAATATAACAGCGGTATGGTAGATTAAACTGGCGAAACCTCTGGGAGGGTTCACTACTGATGAGCCAGGCCCTCCCTTTAATTTTTCCATTGCAGTAAGGGCAGTAGAAATTGTTTTGTTTTAAAAAGAATATTACGCGTCTAAAATAGTTTCGTATTTGATAACAGATGGCGCGCTAGTGCATCGTAATGTAATATTGTTTCTTTCATTATGTTTTTAACTTTATTAATTTTCATTACTTGTTTTAAATCTCCTGGACGTAAATTAAACATTTCAACAGGTTTCTGGAGATGAGTTTCTTTTGATTTTATTAAAGCAGTCTGAAGATTTCGTGGGATCTCTGTCCTTCTACAAGAAGACTTAAACCCAAAAATTCCTGAAATTTGTTGAAATGTTTGATTTAGTTTTTACATTAATAATGAAAAAGAGAAAGGCATCTTGTTGAAATTGACAATTGAAGATATTTCTATGATATTTGATATGCAGATATTTTCATAATTTTAGTATTACCTATGCGGCGCTGAGTTTGTGTATACAAAAATGTAATGCCTCGATAAAGGTTGGAGTTCAGCCAGCCGAAATATTGCCAAAATAAATATTTTATTTAATCCAATATATGCCTTTTATTATTTAAGTATTACCTACTAGCCGAATGACCCGGGCAACGCCCGTGTTTTACCCGATTGAATGTTTTTATTCAAATACTATTTGTTACAATTATAAATTGGAGCCGTGGATGTCACTCTTGTGAAACGTCCCGCTCCAAACTTTACATGTACATTAGGTCAGCTGGCATTACCCCTCATTTTCACCGCTAGAGGCGCGAGCGAAAGAGCAAATTTGCAAATAACACGACGGATATTCGGGATAGAGACCTGAAATTTTCACTAAGAGTTTTTCCAGATTCTACTTTATATACTGTTAAAATATCAGTCATATTAGTTACGTATTGTGGACGTGTATAGTTGACAAACATACATACATACATACGCTGACTTTTATATATATAGGGATAATGATATAAATGAGTTTTAAAAATTGTAAAAAAGAAAAAAAATGTATCGGCCGGGAATCGAACCCAGGCCGCCCGCGTGGCAGGCGAGCATTCTACCACTGAACCACCCCCGATGCTTATAAGAAATGGCCCTATTTGGGTATTTATTCCATTCACAAAAGCAAACGATGACAGAATTGTTGATGACTCTGATACTTGTATTTATAATTATGTTAGCATAATGAATTAGTCAGTATTCCTATGGTCTCTAGCGAAGAGGTGTGAATTGACTTTTTGAAAATATACATAATTATAAAGATAGAAGCTTCTATAGAAATAAATAAAATAAGCCGAAATAGCTCAGTTATGAGAGCTTTAGACTGAATATCTAAAGGTCCCTGGTTCGATCCCGGGTTTCGGCATCTTTTTTTAATTTTTAAATTTCTACTTACCGTAACTTGACACGTGACTTAACGTGACAGAATTGTGCATGACGCTGATAACTGTATTAAATATAATCCAAATTGTGCCTTATCACACACTATTTATTTATTTGGATTAGGTCTTATTGCCTTGTGTTTATAATCTATAATCCAAATTGTGCCTTATCACACACTATTTTTTTATTTGGCCTTATTACCTTGTGTTTATAATCTATGACGTAATGCCCCCCCCCCCCCCCTGCCGGCGGCGCGCGCCCGTTGGCTGCCGGCGAGCACGTGACCTCCCTGTGCGCGCGCATCCGTGACAGAGGCGGCCGATGAGGAAAGACGGTCGTGACTATATATAATATGTTAATTGACATCTCTGTCTATATAGCGTTGTTGGATTGTTAGTTGGCTAGAAGTTATTGGATAGGGCAGGTCAGTGTGAGCTGCTGATGTACATATCGTTTGTTCTCTTGTCCTTCTTTTATAGTTTAGATTTTGTATTATTTTATATATATTTGCGATGTCGGCCTGATGATAGGCTAACGCCTGAAAGCTCGCCAAATTTAAGAATAAAAGAAACTTGTTGCAAACAATTTTTTCTTCCTTTCATTCATTAAATATCTTTAAGTAATAAAGGATCTTTCTCTTCCTTTACGACCCCATAATTTTTTTTTCTACAAATCTCTTTATCGTGCAACTGAAAGTTACTGATAGCTTTCGCCATCTATTGGAATAAATATCAACTATTCGTTGATTTTTTTTAATTATTCCAGAATTGGTCAAATACCCAATCTTGAATAATCAAGAAAAGCTAACCACGTACGCTTTTTTAATTTATTCCGATAGATAGCGTCAGCATTAGCAACTTTCAGTTCCATGATAAGGAGATGCCTTTTTCTTTTTCATAATTTATGCACCTTATCCCAGTACAAATTTTTACTATTTTTCACATTTTACATTAATGTTTTCCTTCAAAAATAAAATGCATATTTTAACTCTTACTTGTAAGTTGTCTTACTTACCTATAGAGGGCCAATGTAAGGTGAAAGTCCAATTCTTTTATTACAATTTTAGCGTCATCGCTGTTTGAGGAAATTTTGAAAAAATGGGCCATGGTGAAAAAAAGACTAATTGCATAACGGAACGGATCCTGATAGAAGAGTGGAGAGGTATAACTGGAGTAGAGGAATTCAGCGAGCTTCTTTTTCATGTTTTCCAGCATTCTCCAATTTGGTATTCCTCTCCCTGAAACAACATGGTTAAAGCAAATAATATTCAAAATTCTCAATTATAGATTCATTGTCATTGTTTACGCAATATTTACGCAAGTTTGGCCTTAAATACCCATTTCTTTGTTTTTCAAGAAGTCTCTGGGACCAAAAATAATTTTGGTCGCAATGGTACAGCCAACTCCACGCTGACGAGCGAAACGCGTTCGTGGATGGCTTTTCTTGATTTATCAAGAAAATAGGTTGGTCAAATATCAATAACAGGCTAAATCAATGTTTAATTGATGTCTATTCCACTAGATGGCGCTTTGCCATCGTAAAAGCACATGTGCTCCTGGTCAGGATATACCTTCATTATTTTATTATTATTATCATTACGGTATTTTATTTTAAAAGATCGATATGCTTTCATCTCGGATTCCATCAAATCCAAAACCTTTGTATTTAAGTTCATGTCGTTATGTTCAAATTGTTTGTAATATTATTATTAGTTTTAAATTTAAATTATAAAACTATTTTAGAGGCGTAATATTCTTTTTAAAATAAAACAATTTCTACTGCCCTTACTGCGATGGAAAAATTAGAGGGAGGGCCTGGCTCATCAGTGGTGAACCCTCCCAGCGGTTTCGCCAGTTTAATCTACCATACCGCTGTTATATTGCATTTTTGGAACTTCCTTTTATAGGTGACTGTTGTAAGACTCTTGGAATGGGTATTTTAAAAGAACTATGGACATAAGCTTTTAGGACAGCAGAATTAAATATAATTATAAATATATAATATGCTTCGAGCAATCGCTCTTCCGCAAATATCAAATTGTGTCTTTTATTAGAACAATAATTATACGATGTACTAGAGCGCCATCTGTTATCAAATTATAAAACTATTTTATATTTAATTATAATTATATAATTATATATATAATTATATTTAATTCTGCTGTCCTAAAAGCTTATGTCCATAGTTCTTTTAAAATACCCATTCCAAGAGTCTTACAACAGTCACCTATAAAAGGAAGTTCCAAAAATGCAATATAACAGCGGTATGGTAGATTAAACTGGCGAAACCGCTGGGAGGGTTCACCACTGATGAGCCAGGCCCTCCCTCTAATTTTTCCATCGCAGTAAGGGCAGTAGAAATTGTTTTATTTTAAAAAGAATATTACGCCTCTAAAATAGTTTTATAATTTGATAACAGATGGCGCTCTAGTACATCGTATAATTATAGTTTTAAATTTGATAATTCTCTCCCTACTTAGGAGATTTTATGTCTTAATATTTAATTAATGTGAATAAAAAGAATAAAAATCAATAGTTATAAGGAAATAGAGTAGTTAGATTGATTGCTGATCAAACTAATTTCTGAATCGTCTTTACGAATTGCTTACTTTTTTCGCCAATCTATATAAATACAGAAGAAATATTTATAAGTTGTATTGATTCCATATATTTTCACACAATGTTTAATATATTTAAATAGAACACACTGAAATCATATATATAGATATTATATTAAAATATTGTCACTGAATAATTATTTTAAATATTATGTGGTATATCATCATTAATATTTGCATAGTCATCACCCCTTACCATTCTTGTATATTATTACTTGTAAATAATTTTTAGAAATAGTTTGGCATTTTATAAATAAATTATTTTTACTTAAACTTTTGTTATACTCGTTATCACTACCGTGACAACTGGTGGAGAAGCTGGAATATTCCCTCGACGCCCAAGCCGTTAGAAGAAGCCGAAGACTACAAGGACTAGAACCTCAAGAAAACATCGCTATGATCAAGCAAGAGACACAGACAAAAATGGGTGAGTACCATTTTCAACCTTTTAGAAACCCTTCTATTTTTACTGGAGAACGCAACCAGAATCCAGAAAAATGGTTGAAAGAATTCCATCGCGTCGCTCGCTACAACTGCTGGGATGATTCAATGTGCCTCGCAAATGTTTATTTTTTCCTCCAAGGAACAGCACACAGATGGTACGAAAATGTTGAAGAGAAAATTAATTCATGGGATATTTTTGTGAAAATGTTTTCTCAGAATTTCGGACATCATGTCACCCAAAAAGATCAACTCGCAGAGAACCTCAAAACTCTAGCTCAGGGGAAGGAGGAGACCAGTGATTCTTACATTCAAGATGTTCTCCATCTGTGCAGAGAAGTGAATCCGGCTATGATGGAAAATGAAATAGTTGCACACTTGACGAAAGGAATATCGGAGGAGATATATCAGTCAATCATCATTTTAGACATTGCAAGTATCGATGAGTTCATCAAATGGTGCCGAAAAATCGAGGCTTCAAATAAAAAACGTGTAAAAAAAAACGTGTAGTATTTGACAGACTACCGAATGTTGCCGCCATCGATTCAGCAGACTCTGAATCAATGGAAGACTTAATCCGACGCATCGTGCGTGAAGAAGTTCATCGCGCACTAAATCCGGAGTCAACTACCCCTGAACCATCTTCTCTGAAAGAAATTATCCGAGAAGAGATTGGAAAAAACGTAGCTGCAATTTCGAAGCCTATTCAAAGGCCTCCGCCACGACAGTCGTACCCCAACCAAACACGTACATTCAACCAGGTTCCACGACGTCAGTACCCTACCCAAACGCCCATATATAACCAGACGCCACCACAACGAAGAACGGATGAATGGAGGACGCATGACAACATCCCAATATGTTTTAATTGCGGCCGCCCAGGCCATGTTAAGCGATATTGTAGAGAACGCCGACAATGGACGCAGAGACCCGAAGGACATGCACCAAGCACCCAAGAACCTCAAATGGGTAACCACCAAGCCATAAGAAGCCAAACCTACCGCAGACAATCGCCGTATCCAAACAGAGGAAGATCCCCAAGACGCCAGTCCATTTCCCCAGGCCGCCATACAAGCCAATCCCCACGCCGCTACAATCTAGAAAAAAACTAAGCGTCGCGTCTTCTTTCGAGGGGGAAGCCGCGGGTGTGAAAAACCCTCCATCGTCGACAGCCGCTAAATTACAACAAAATTATGTCGAAATCATCATTGATGACATTGCATTTTCTGCTCTGGTCGATTCAGGTTCCTCTTTTTCAGTTATCTCTGATGGATTAAGACGACAATTAAAAAAGACCATGTTCAAAGATAGCGGAATGACTCTGAAAGTTGCTGATGGCAAGAATGTTACATCGATCGGCCGATGCACAATCAGCTTGAGCATCAGTGGATTGGAACAGCCGCTTGAGTTTATCGTCCTCCCTAATAGTAACCCAAGTATTATCCTCGGATGGGATTTCCTAGAGGCATCAAATGCCGTGATTGATTGTGGACGCGCTGAAATCAGATTGGAAGAGGCCAAAGATGCACTAAATTCACCAGCTTCCATGGGAAAGGTTGTGGCTAGCAGAAGCGTCGTAATCCCAGCCGAATCTACCAAACTAATAAATGTTATGAGTGAAGAGCTTAATGGGCAAAATC